CAAACGGCTCCTGCGCGCCCCTCACCCCGCTGAAGCGCTCTGGCGTTTCACTTGCCTGTGACATGCGCGCTGCGTTTGTAAAGCTGTGTGTTATTTAGGGCATGCGGTGGCAGCAGATCTGCTCATTAGAGGTAGCCCCTTTGATACCGTAAGCGACCTTTGTTCCCACAGCTGTGGGGCAGGTCTGCGTTGGCTGACTGTAAGCTACATGGACACACAAGCACGGCTAAAGTGCGCACGTTCACTGTATGAAAAAAAGTAATTCTTGGAAAGTTACTGCGTACTTCCTTGAAATAGACACACTCATTGAAATTCTTAATTGGCGCTCTTTGGTTTTCTGCTTGCTAAGCGCTTGAAATGAAAAAAGTTCTTCTGTTCTAACTTAGTGGGGTTATTTCTAAGCAATCTGTAAATCTCAGGAAAGCTGATTGCATTTTTCATCTGTTTTGGTTTGGGGTTTTGTTTGTTTTGTTTGGGGGGGGTGTTTTACTTTTTGTAGGAGAACATGATGTCCGTGAGGATTTTAAGAATACGTCTGCTGTTCTGCTTTCTGGCTGCATTCTTCATCTCTGCCCTAGCTGAGGAACATGTGGGAGAGAGTCAACATCCAAATATTCGCCTTGATAAGAACTTGGTACAAGATAAAGAGTATGTGTTCAATGTTCTAAAAATGTAAACTTTACTTCTTAATGATTTGCTTATCTCTTATGTCTTGTTACATGAGTTGGACTTAAGCCTAGGGCACCCTCTTTTCTTAGGATGCAGTATGACTAGCTGGAGTCAGATATGATTCATGCTTGCTTGATAAGTTTGTAGAGATACTAGACCTAGGAAGTTCTCTCTGGAGCCTTTAGCCTTACTCACACTATAAAGAATTTCGTACAGAAATCCTGCTTACCTAGATCAACGTACAAAATCATATTCTGAACAGGTAGAGGTTTGGGGTTTTTTTCATTTGTTTCTTTAAAGAGACAAAACAGTGGTAGCAGCAAATAAAACTCCCTAGAATACTTCATGTTTGACTGGGAAAGATCTTCCTCCAGTTCCTGTGCTTTGGAAGACAGACAAAAGGAGATTTTGGGCACTGCTTCAGTTGTTTTGATAACCTGCTAAGTAGGCCAGAAGGAAGGGAAATAGCTATATGACATACTAGAGGCCACTGCAGCACCTGTAACAAACAACCTTTGTACCCGCTTCATCTGAGTAAAAAAAATATCTTTCGGTTGTCCAGGGTGCTTTTAGAGACACAGTATTTTCTGTGTTCTTCACTACCTGATCAAAGACTAAATTTGATGTCAACAGAGCATTAAATATTAACTAATGGATGTGGTGTGGGTTTTGGTGATTTTTTTATTTTTTTTTCTTAGCCACATCATGGAACATTTGGAAGGTGTTATTGAGAAACCGGAATCTGAGATGTCTCCACAAGAGTTGCAGCTTCATTACTTCAAAATGCATGATTACGATGGCAATAATTTGCTAGATGGGTTAGAGCTTGCTACTGCTATATCACACGTCCACAAAGAGGTAGGTGGAATTTTGTAACGGCGTGTGTGTTTGGAAACAGTTGTGATTCTCTAAAAGCAGCTTACAACACAACTTCAGTGCAGTTACAGTTTTGTCTTAAAAGATTATTTTTCCCTCTTTTTTGGTTTGATTCATGAATGTGTTAACTTTTGTCACAGCTTTTCATGTCACATGGCAGTTTTCAAGAAGTCTCCATTGTATTTTAGAGTGAGGAAGGACTGTAGAGTGAAAGTGATTTGACAGAGGGGATACTTCAGTAGGCAGGGATAGGGAGAAGGGGAAATCATCCAAAGTGGGATAATGCTGGTGAGGGTTCATAGAAATAGCATATGATGCAATGCTGTTTGAGGTTTTAAAGCTGCTGTTTTCAACTCCAAACTGTTACTGCCAAGGATACACAAACTGTAAGAGACCTCTTGTGCAGAATTAGTATTAGCAGAACCAGTCACAGTCTGCCTTTGTTTTCTTCTGCCTTCCTTTTATAAACACAACTTCTCTTTCCATTTAAGGACAAAGGAGGAAGATACAATCCTTAGGAAGGCCGTACCAACACATTATCTCAGACTGACCTTTTGGAAGTTAGAATTCAGAATAGCATAACTTCCTGCATACACCTGTGGCAAAAATTACCTAGCTGAGAACAGAATAATGACTTGCTCTTTCTTGTGCAAAGACACCTATTTGTATTCCCCTTTGCTCACAAGGGGTGATACTAAGAATTTTACTGACTTTAAGCTACAGTGCTGGATTTTTTCACTACTCTGTTACTGTCAAGCTCTGCATTTTGTAAGTTCCGATGCACAGGAAGATGTTTCTGTACTCGATAGAAACTATAGTGTCTATACTACATCAAGATCCAAATTAAGAATACATCTGTTTGTTAGATTATTATCCATTATTATACACTGTGCTATTTAGCTTTTAGAACTTTTGGCTAAGAATATTAACTGGATATAGAGTGCTTGTTTTGAAGTCCAGACAACTTGGACTTCATAACTTGCACCTGGTAAAAGTTGCTTACATTGGTATAAATGATTACATAAAACATAGTGCCAAATTAGGCATCAAACATGAATATCTTAACAAAAAATTAGTGGTCAGTAATGTGTCATATGTGTCACTAGATGGGAAACCCTGCTAAACTGTTCAATGTGGTTTTGTTTTTGTAGGAAGGTGGTGAGCATACCCAGGCAATGAAAGAAGAAGAGCTGATTAGTCTAATAGATGATGTCTTAAGAGATGATGATAAGAACAATGATGGATACATTGACTATGCAGAATTTGCAAAATCACTGGAATAAGGTTTTGCAGGGGGCTTGTTTCTCCTTCTAACTACATGGAAATGTGAACCAGTATAATGTGATTCATTACTGTCTCATATCAACCTCTGTGCTGTGAGAAGGAGAGGTGTACCAGCTCCAGCTGAAATTATTTGAAAGTTGTATGTGTTAAGAGACCGGCTAACTCAGAGCGAGAGCCATGTTTCACTAAACGAAGCTATACATGTGAATCTTGAAGCATGGAAGGGTCAACAGTACTCACACAGGGTACAGCTGACAAACTCTTAAGCAGCTGTGTATGAATACTAAATAGATCATAAACAATCTAAATTCCAGTTTTTCTGTCATTGATTGGGTTATGTAGTACTTGTTTGCTTACATCTTCTATTTAAACTTACAAAATACCTGGAAAGCAAGAAAAGATTACCACATACAGTTGTATTTCAAGGACAAATGTCCTTATCTTCCCACTAATTTCAAAGGAAATACACATATAAGTACAGGTGCTTGAAACAGAAATTGTAGAGGAAAAGTGTTCGAATGTGGTTTATGTTTGATACCATGTGGACTTCAACACAGTCTTTGAAGAAACTGAGTATTTTAAAATATATGTACTTCCTAGCATACCCTTACATTTTTCATAGAAATATATATACATGTGTTTTTCAATTTCTTCTCATCCTTCACAGATTTACTTTTTATATCTTAATTTACTGATTTTTTTTTTCCCTCTACCTTCTGTGGTGTTTTCTTAAGAAAATGAAAGTATTTTTATTACATTTATATGTTGCATTAATGCTGTATAGTATTTACTAGAGTAGCTTCTGCTATCTCGTTTTGAAGGTCACATTAACAGTAAACTAGCTTCTGTTCAATTTGGTTTTTACAGTATTAGCCAGGAGGATGACCTAAGTGAGCAAGTAATGCTGCCTTGTTAAGGTTTAAGTTCATATTCCTTGACACTTAAATTATGGTATTACTTTCAGGAGGTATTTCATAACTAACAGTTTCAAGATACTTGAGTGTGTGCAAATTAACATGGTTTGAGGAATGTTTTCACTGTCTTGACTCAATACTTGATAAGTCAAGCAGTTTAAGGATCATAGAAAAGTGATGTATTGCTGTGTTATTGATATTTGGTGGCTCTAAAACATAACTGAAATCTTAAATTGCATTCAATCCTTATCCATTAATAGAGAATCTAAATGTTGCTGTATTTCTGTAAAATGTATAAAGAGCTATTTTCTGTACAAAATTATTCTTGTACAAGAGAAACACATTTGTAAAAGAAATTATTTCCTCTGTTTAAATGTTTGTGCAATGAATCCTGAGTGTCGGACTTTTTTCTTTACCAATTATTTATTTTGATACCTTTGCAGCCAGGGTTCTGCTGGTTGTACAAGCAATAAAAATAAGTTGGGGTTCGTTCACTCTGGAGCTAGACACGCAAGGTTGGAAGTCCTAGTGAGAAATGTACCTAATTTTTCTGATGTATTTTTAAGCCTGTCTCTGTTACTAGCAGTCATCTAAAAAAACCTTGTTCTTTCAGTTAAAGCTTTTTTTTTTAATACCTGTTTAGAGGATAATTAATCTAGAGTGAATGTTGAATAAGTAGTATAGAAAATGCTTGCGGGTAAGAGGGGAGAAGAGGTTAAGCTCCTCAGCTTTGAGCTTTTAAAGCAAGTTGCCCATAGACCTGCCAGCTCTTACATGCTTCTTGCATAAGCTTCTCAGTTTGGGATTTATTTTGGATGAAGGAGCAAGAACCAGGAACTGACTTCTATGCACTGCTCTTAAAAATCATGGTTTTCTTATCAAGTGCAGTCCATAAATTTAGTCCAGCATCCACCTATGGGGCACATTTATATACATATGTTACATTTATATACATAGTTATTAACTGCTATTGTATACAGCAAATGACATGCACCATGGAAGCTTTGTATCAGGAAAAATTATGATGAATGTAGATAATGGGAACAACATTTTTTACCAACTATTTTAAAATTGTTTTTAAGGCATCAGAAGTATGTATAAATAGAGATTATTTACCAAAAATGGAGAACAAAAGTGGCACCTTTCATTTCAGGATGCATGAAGAAAGATGAAAACAAAATTTCTTCTTTACTAGAAAGAACAATTTGAGAAATACTACTCAAGCTGAAACCTGCATCATCATGCCTTTACTCAGCCTCCTAAAACAAATACACATACTTAATTAAGCACACTTAAATGGTTTAACAGTTGTCTAGGGAACTTTCTCTGTTAATAAGTAGAAAAGTGCAAAATGGCTGAGAACGATGGTGAGTCAGACTTTAAAAAAAAAAACCACAACTAATTTGTGTGCTAGTTGTAGCTCATGCAGTACCCTAAATATGCTGGTACAGGTCATATATACATACAGTATTTTCTATGTCATATATGTAATACAGAAAATAAGGCCTTTAAAACAGCAGTACTCATCAACTACAAAGCTGTTTTAGCTTCTGTAGAACAGCACTATCTCCATGTCACAGGTAATAAATAAATAACAAAGCAGAAGGGATGTATGATTTACTGAAGGTCATAGAATGGTTTGGGTTGGAAGGGACCTTAAAGATCATCTAGTTCCAACCCCGCTGCTGCAGGCAGGGACACCCTCCACTAGACCACATTGCCCAAAGCCCCATCCAACCTGGCCTTAAACACTTCCAGGGATGGGGCCTTCACAACCTCTCTGGGCAACCTATTCCAGTGCCTCACCACCCTCACAGTAAAGAATTTCTTTCTAACATCTCATCTAAATGGACCCTCCTTCAGCTTAAACCCATCACCCCTTGTCCTATCACTACACTCCCTGACAAATAGTCCCTGACCATCAATCACATCCCTGGCAGAAATGGAAAACTGGGAGAATGCTGTTGTGTGTGATCTTCACCTCTTCCTAGTCTATGATCTCGGGGGACGGGGATTCTCCCCGTTAGAGGAGAACACATCTGGCTTTGCATTACTGTATACTTACTGTATACTATGTGCCCAGTTTAAAGTACCTGGATTATCTGCTCACAAATTAGTGCGTAATCTGGCAGCTAAAGAAAATAACATCATAAACTTGTTCTTGAAACACTCCTAAACTGAGCTGGTTTTTGTTTGTTTACTAATCTAGAACATAGTCTGTATATGAAGGAGAAAAATCTTAACGACTTGTCCAGTCCCTGTCAGAATGCTGATAATGACCAGAATGACCACCTAGAGCTTCCCAGCAACAGCTTTGTCTGCAGTCATGCAGACTTTCCTTTTTTTTTAATTAATCACCTATAACCTCAATCTGTCTTAGATTTACTGAACAATGGTTACAGAATGCAAACCCTTATTTAATGTAAAGTTTTTTCTTTAATACTACAATTCACAGGCAGAACAGGAATTCAGGAATAATGCCGTAATCAATACAGCCACTAGATAGCGTATTGACACTGCACATTCGTTCCCTGTAGTATGTAACTGAGTGATTCAACAACCTGGATTTCTCTATACCATCACCCCATACTCTGATTATAGGCAATAGTTGCTCCTCATGTCTTACACCACCAGTATGATGGCCACATTTTCATGAGTCTACACCTGCTATAATAATTGATCATAGCTGGGACTCGTTACTGGTAATTAATTTTAATTGTTTAGGTAATCCAAATTGACCTGAAGATTGTAATATTGTCAGTAAAAATAACTGTGTAACAGGAAGGCTTTCTAATACAAGCACCAGGCTTGGCCTAACTTCCTGACCATCTCTAGTTGACCTATGAGAGGGTCCATGAGGTATCTACAGTGGTCTCAACCACCATTAAAGAATATTAAAGCATTTTAGTAGGACCTGAAATCTTACTGGTTTTCCTCAGTAAGAGCTGCTCTCACTGTTGTTACAAGGCATAGGTCCAGCATGGTCTGATCAGCCACTTCTGCTCAAGGTGGAGGTTAGTGGTTTTTCTTCCTCTCCCCCATTACCGTGTCACTGTCTGCCCATTGCACCATGAAACAGCTGCATAATGTTCTAAGTTTTTAGTACACAAATTAGGGCAAGGATCATTGCATACCTTAGTCTGAATTATTTGTTATAACAAGTAATTTGTGTTCTAAATATTTCATCAGCGCAGATCCTCTGCCCACGTAGAATGAGATCAGTTATAAGGGCAGTTATTAATGCCTTACAGAAGGTTTCTCTGAAATTACATTTTTCTTCCCGTTCTTCATGCTAAATTCTGAACAGCAACCTAAATCTTTAGGGGTTACACATATCGCAATTGTCACTACCTTCCTCAGCTGAGCGGCAGTTTTACACATAGGTAGAGGGCAGTGTAACATCTGACTCAAAGCCTACTGCCAGATACGACACTTTACAAGAAATAAGTACTGCTGCGAACATAGTGTCAACTTCTGCCACTTGATCCAACTGAGTGACTGACAGCACTAGATTTCAAGAAGGCAGATGTCAATAAACTCAGAATGGATAGGGAAGATCTCATAAGAGGCAAATCTAAGGGAAAACCAAATTATGGAGAGCTGTCAGTTCCTTCAAGAAATGCTAATAAGAAACCAAGTGCAACCTATGCCATTTTTAGAGGAAAGTAAGGAAATTCAGCAGAAGTCAGCTAATTCCCAGCCTTTTAATTGACCGCTTGCATGAGAGAGAGAGATATCTGTAAAGTAGAAACTAGGTCAGCTGGTAGAGAACCCAGCACAATACTCCATTCATGGGGGGGAGGTGAGGGTTGTATACAGTTAGTAAAGACAAAAAGCACAAGATTCAACTAGCAAAACTTACCAAAAGTAATAGAAATTTTACAGGTAAGATTGTAAAAGAAAAACAAAGGGAAGTTTGGACCTCTACTCAAAGATGGGGGGGGTGCTATCAGCAGAGAACATTAAGGAAGCCAAAGAATTTAATGTCCTTTTTTTCCTCCCCTTTTCATCAATCTTTACTCAAAAGGTCAACAGCAAGCAGACAGTGCAATTACTAGCAGAAAAAAGGGGTAAAGTGTCAGCCTAAAATATGCAAAACCTGCTTAGAGAGTAACCAGTTAAGTTAGATGTTTTCCAGTTGCCTGAGCCTGATCAACTTCACTCTGGGAGTCTTAAAGGGAGGCTGAAGTTATGGCTGCAGATATCACAGAGCTTGAATTTATTTATTTTATTTAATTTTTTGCAAGGCCTTTAGCAGTACTTCCTATAATGAAGTGAATCTAAATGAAACTGCTGTGGGAAGGGGCAGGAGGTCAGGTCTGGTTGGATAATTGTGTCCACGGGGTAATTCCATCAAAAGCTATCAAAATACACGTTTTACAAGGAATTCTATGGGCCTTGATCCC